CTGGCCATGGAGTCCACTTCGAATGCTTATTTTTCAGCTTATGACACTTTTCACAATTGTTTGCTGTACGACAAATATCTGCATTTATCTCTGGCCACCAACACGTTAGTCTCGCCAAGGACTTCATTTTCTCAACACTTAAATGTCCACTATGAAGATCATCCAGGAAAGCTTTACGCAATGAAGGAGGAATAACAACACGAACATTTAAACACAAAATACCATCAGGAGTAGTGGATAGCTCATCCCGCTTTGAAAAATAGATAGGGACTCTGCGTTTCAGATTAGCATTCCAACCTTTCCGTATAGCATTAATTATACATCCAAAGTTTCTACGAGTTTCTCTAATGAGATCTGGACGTTTCACTGGTAAAGGTTGCACCAACAAACAGTCTGAAGTATTAACAGGTTTATCTTGTAATGACTGTCAAGAAATGTAGTCAACATGTTGAATTTGCTTGGCACTCCTGTGCTGAACCGTATAGTCGTAGGCACTCAAAGCAATACTCCATCGTTGAACCATAGTAGCTGAGGCACGTGCTAAGGATTTTTCAGGATGATAAATAAACTGTAAAGCCTCATGATCAGTAACAATAGTGAATTTCTTTCCGAATAAATATTTATGAAGTCTTTTAACAGCCCAAAACACAGATAATGCTTCTTGCTGAGTCTGTGAATAGCCTTGTTCAGTAACAGTAAGTTTGCGTGAAACACAAATAACTGGTCTACCTTCCTGTTCCAAAACTGCGCCAATACCCACAGGTGATGCATCAGTGATAAGTACAGACTGTACACTAGGGGAGTAAGTTCGAAGAACAGTATCACTTTGAAGAAACTATAGTACACTACGTAAGCATGACTCTTGTTCCTCACCCCATTTGAATGAATTGGATGTCAAAATATTAAATAAACAATTTGCACGACAAGAAAAATTAGGAATAAAACGGGAATAGTATTGAAGAGCACCCACTAGTGAACGTAGTTCCGTAAGATTTTTTGGAGACGGTGCATTTGTCAGTGAAGCTAGTCGTTTCATATCTGGTCTAAAACCATTACCATCAACTAGGTATCCAAGACATTCAAAACTAGATACACAAAATGAACACTTATTTGGATTTGCTGTAATATTCTTCTCAATTAAACGACGCAATAAGGCAATAAGTCTCTGGTCATGAACTCCCTTATCAGCACCATGAACAATCAGATCATCTTGATAAACTTCAACACCTTCAAGATCATTAACCACCTTATTCATAACTTCGTGGAATATGGCTGGAGAACAACTTAGAATAAATGGAAGGAAATTGTATTTAAACAGACCAAAAGGAGTGTTAGTTGTCGTCAAAATAGATGAGGATTGATCTAAAGGGATTTGAAGATAAGCATCTTTTGGGTCAACTTTCGAGAACACTTTAGAACCACGAAGTCGATTTAGGATATCTTCAGCCTCTACCGTCGCTCATGTGTTGCTTCAACAACCGGGAGTTCAATGTTAGTCTATAGTCACCACATATTCTAGGAGTCTTGCCATCCGATTTCAGTGGCGTAACAATAGGAGTACCACGTGCAGAAGACTGAACCGGTTCACTTATGCTTTTTGTACACAAATCAATCAATGTCTTATGCATTGCATCTCGAAGACCAAAAGGAATTATTCGTCTTTTGAGAAAGACTGGACCACCCTGTACTTGAAGTTTTATAGGCTGAATTTTCATACCTCCACTGCACTTAGCACACGTGGCTATCAAGTCTTTAAGTAAAGCATCAGAATTTTCTTTAGAAACTAGGAAAGACAACTCCACTTTAAGCTTTTTCAAATTCCTTAAATCCAGTATTGACAGTCCTGTTTCGCTAACTAAAAATTCACAAGGTACATATGGGGAATTATCATCTCTTATTAGCAATTCACAACATCCTCGTATAGGCAGTCTGTGTCCAGTAATCCCCAATATTGATACTTCAGTGGGTCGAACCACAACGTTAGGATCTGAAGATTTCAAGTTCTTGAATGAAATAATGGGCTCTATACTACCTGTGTCCACAATAAAGTCATGCCATGAACCAAGTGATGTATATAATCGCTTTTGAATATGAGCATTACCTTTCGAAATGGTAGACAAAGATAAATGATCATTAGGATCAGCTGAATTATCGGGATCTAAATTAAAAGATTTTGTACTACTTGAGGCAAAATGAACAGTAGCTTTGCAAACTGCTTGAATGTGTCCTATCTTACCACATCTAAAACATTTAGCATTACGAAATGCACATGAATTACGAGAATGAAGTTTTTCCACATGATAAACATTTGCCAAACTTGGTCTCACCTTTGTGATTTTCTTTGTAATTATTTATTGAAACACCGTTCATATTTACACGAGAATAGGAACCACTGTTAAACGAACACAATTTTGATTGACCCTGAGATTGTATTTCATCATGACAACTAATCAAAGTATTGGAAATCTTCATCGACTGAATATCAAGTTCATTCAACGCCTCGTAGTTAATGCACGCAGTTCTAACATCTTGAAAGGAACAGTTCGGCATTCTTAACAACTCTCTTTCCAAACTAGGTATGTTAATTCCTGCGATTAGTCGGTCTCTCAGCTGCACATGAAGTTGATCACCGAAATTACATTTGACAGCTTGTTTCTGCAATTCAAGAATGAATTCTTTAACCTTTTGGTCATTTTGACGAGTCGTCTTATGAAATGCCGCCCTTTCACGGCATTCAAAACTAGTGCACTTTACATGATTAATTAATAACTCCTTAAGCTGTTCATGATGCATATCTTGAGACCTGCTAGTTGTTACCGTTGCCATCTCCTCAGATCACTCAATTAATCTATCTCGCCTATTACTTCTGTTTCCTCTCCCTTGCTTACACTTCGGTCCTCTCTAACAATCTTCACTAACAATTAATAGACTAAATTCATCTATATATTACTCAGTTCTGAAATTTTATTCATATTATCATTAGAACTTTATCCTTATTACTCTTATTACTCTCCACATTGCAACTAACTGATCTCCGGTTTGGTAATGTAACGATTGCTGGTATCCAGAAACCCTACTGCCCTGAAACAAACGTTTCATTCAAATCCCGAGACATACAAACTCACAACCAACTGCCAACTGACAGAATTAGACAGTCGAGTGGCTAGACCTCCATCCATTGGACATTACCGAACACCTGGGACCGCACCGAAAGAACAAGAATCGAGCGCGAAGAAATCAAATTGGTTTACACTTGCTCGTGAAAAAGATATTGGATATTGGATAGCTGGCCGGCATCCAAAAACCCTACTGAACGGAAACAAACGCATCCACTCAAATCACGAAATATACAAACTAATAAAGAACTGCTAATTGACTAGAATAAGTACAGTTAAGTGGCAAGACTACCATCGATTGGATATCACGAAGCACCTGTAACCTTAACGAAAGAACAAGAAACGAGTACAAAGAAACCAACTGGTTTATACTGGCTCGTGAAAAAGAGATTAGATATTGAATGTTAACAATGAAATTACATACAAAGCCTAAATCAGTTAATACGAACACCACACTTAGATTACATAAAGTGCTCTGACAAATTTTTCCCAGATACAATATGAGTTAAACTACTAAACTGCTGTATATCGATCAAGCAAGTAGTAAGTTGATTTAAAGATATCTTTCTCAGAATAATCTTTAGATTTTCTTTTCAAATCATCACATTTTTTGTGACTCCAAACTCCTAAACATCAACCTATGGTCGATAACTCTAGCAAATTGATATTAGATTATGACCCAGGACTGTATATCTCAAGTCCTGACCTACCTTCATTGTTGTCTTAACTTCTGACTGTTAAATTGGATGTGAAAGTAAGTGAATGTAGACAGTAGGACTAAAGTGTATTAAAAAAGGAAATGATTGTCACCTAATAAAGAAATAATTGACACATATAGATAACCTAGTCTCTTGATTAATCTTTTCTAGATCTTCATTTCTCCTATACTTCTTTCTAATTTATATCTACTGTTTAATCCATTAAATGTTCCCTACTCATTTCTAAAAATTATTTGGGTAACCAGTCACAATCCTTCAATAAGCCTTGTAATTTCCTTTTGATTTTTCAAAGGTGTTAAATCGTTAAATAACTTATTACTTGCAATTTACCTTTGGTATTTGTAAATTGTAGAGCAAAGTACTCTAGAAAAAGTGAAAAATTTCAAAGATGAATTGTTAAAGTTAAAGGAATTCCTATGGACTTCGCTTCTAACAATAGTTTCTAAAAAAGAGATTTTTATTTTTTAGTTAATATGTTAACTTTATGCATGAGGTGAAAAATTCATTTCAAAGAAGAACCAAACACAAAAATTAAAACTAATACACAAATAGGAAAAAGTAAGTAAACAAAACAGAAGACTCATATGAGATTGCTTGCCTTGGTACAAAAAAATATTTTTGTTTAATTTATCAATATTACTAACTTTTTTTATCTACATGGACAAGTGATTAAAATCACTTTAATCCGTACCCAGAAATACTTCTAAAATATATTCATATGGATATCTAGTCTAAATTAATAATAATGTATCTGTTTTTGGATTTACCAACATCAAACATATCATACTGAAGTAAGCTTTACAAATGATAAAGAGAAAATAGCACTGCGGCTAATACTTGCTAGTACATAGTAAATCACTAAAAGAAGAATATATATACAATCATTAGAGATCACTCTAAAAGAAACACACTAAAGAATGAATAAAACAAAGCTGAGAAATAACATTTTCAACCTGAATATTTCACTTTTTTGTAAATTAGTTTGCAATGTACAAAAAAAAAAACAATGGAATGATTAGTTACGGGAAATATATTGAGTGAGTTGTTTTTGATAGATTATAGTGATAGTAGTGGTAATATTGATATTTAGCTACAATTAAGTCTGGTATACATGATTACTTAGAGTTGTATCTGAACGATAAGTGCAATCTTTGTCATAAAGGATTTAAACTATCGATATTTTTTGCATTTTCTCTCTGATAAGTAACCCACCGTCGGTGGCTGTTGACAAATTTGCTCCAGTTCCAACGATCAAACCACTTGTATTATTATTACTAACACCACAACTATGTACAGAATCTGATATTACTGTACCACCGCCATTTCTGGCTAATGATCCCGAATGTGATGCTGTCCTGTGTTGTATTTTATTATTTAATCTAATCGAATGACAATAGTCGTGTTGGCTGTCCAACAGAAAGTGTGAACCATGACAGTCATATGATTCATTAATTAAATGGGAGTGTCCCCTTTGTTCAGTCATCTTTTTGTCATTACTGTGGTGATGATCTCGATGAGAATGAGCATGTGATGGTAACTGGTGTGAATGCAATAAATGATGATGCTGATGATAATGATAATGATGCTGATGTGGATGTTTCTTTATTGGACCAATATCTGTAAAAATAATTTCTTTCTCAGCTGACAAATCGGATAACAGTCCTGTACTCTGTGAATTATGATACTTATGTAGTTGTTTTTTATTTGGACAATGTGCCATTGTTCTATGGGAGGGTTGATTGAATGATAGTGAAGGCTTTGAACCAGTTAATTCTGTTAGAGGATCCAGTGGCATATGTTTTCGGCGTTTATATTCACGATAATAAATGAAACAGGCTATCGCAAGAAGTAGAATTAAAGCGAGTAGAATACCTGTACCAATATGGGCTAAATTGTAACTCAGTCCCAATGAACCTATAAAATAAGTACAGAAAAATTAAACACTAATGTCGTAACATCAATTATTTTTGAAAATCTCGTTGCTTACAAAAAAAAACAGAAATTTTGGTAGCCTTTAAGACTAAGATTATCACTCCAAAGCTTCATGAAAATCATGTGAATCACCGAACCATCAAACTTCAGTACACCATATGTGAATCAATAAAATTTAGTGAATAGTTTGATTCGGTACTTGATTTTAAAAACATTTATGATGAATTCACATGTTAGTAAATCATAACGATGTGACACTGATATTTGTGAAAGAAAACATGTTCTCTAAGAGTTAACTGGATTTGTTTCATGGACATAGTAAAGAATACAAACAAATTATGTTTCTACTTCACACACTCATTTGTATAATAAATTCAATCTAATTTAGGTGGAGTTAACAATGAAAGATTTGACGATGATACCTTCAGTTCATGAACGAAACATAATTAATCGAAAATGAATATTTTGAAATGATACATTTATTATTAATTTAAAAATAATTGCTTGATTCTTCTTCATCTCATTAAATCAAAAACACTTGAATGTTGAAGCCTCTCCCTCTTTTATGCAACACATACTGATTAAAAGTAAGTATTTTGTGAAAGAGATGTATTTTGTTAAGGGCATAAATTAAAACTGGGATTTAAGAGAATAAGTGATGAGATCTTGTTGATTTCTTTTTGTATAAGGTAGGCTTCGTAACAACATCTGTTGAAATATGCTTTTATAGAACTCGCAAATTATCCATACACATCTCCGAGAATATGTTTACGCATCTGAAATTAGTCTTACATATTTTACTCTAAACCTAGTCTTTCAGTATAAAGTATATCCCCACAGCCAAGATTACCTTAAAAATTAAAAAATCTAAGTCTTACATCTAAAAACAAAATGAATTATTCTTGTGGATCGGTTATAGGTCAATTAAATAAAGTTTTAAAGAGTACTTACAGCCTGCTTCATCTGATTCATCCTTCAACCATTTTCCATCCTTTTGATACATCCCACAATTAGGAACTTCATTACATTCTAAATCTTTGTATAAACAATGACCAGTATTTTCACAGAGGAAACCCTTACAGCCAGCTGAAACAATAAACACATGGAAACATATTGTACATCAAAGGTTATAAAATTGGTGAACTAAAATCCTGGAATGTAAGAAGTTGATGATATATTCTCAGAAAAATACACTTTCTTTCAAAATGCTGCAAGACAATTTTTGATAAAGCCCATTACATATATATATATATATATATATATAACAATCTCGATTTTCTAAACTATCTACTGAATTCTGTTTACTCCACTATCATAGTTGCATTCTCAAAATGAGTTTAAATATGAAAAGAGAACAGATAAAATATCGATTATGTTTGAATAGTTTTGCTATGTACAAACTTGTGTAGACTTGTGATCACTGATAATGAAAGCAATAAAAATTTGCATTTTTAAACAAACTCATCAAAATTATGAAAATAGACATTCGTAGCTATGTAGTGCTTCCTATAAATCGATCAAACATACAACATACTTAAGACCAGTCGAAAACACTAGGAATCTTCAAATTATGATCACTACTGTAGTTTGCTTTGATGTTGGAACTTAATGGACAAAATTTAAAAGATAACGATCAAAATGGACTAAAATAAGTTTTTATTTGTATGATATGTTGGCTAGAGAGTCCCAAGAAACTGAAACGAAAGATGAAAGAGCCGATTCATCAGACAAGACAAACCTTAAGGAAACTCAGTAATCAAGACCGACATAAACAAAGCAGGTGAGAACTGTAAAAACGTTACCATACCAAATTTAATTCAATCTCTCTTTTTATCAGTGTATTCAGATTTGATTTATTAGCTTTAATCAAATCCACTTAGATTTAAAAAATTATCTGATTTGTAAACTCATAATTTGCATTTGTTATTTGCTTAAAAATTACAGTCTCTATTTTAAAAATTCTGAAATATATCTTTAACATACTTTCAGGGTCTATTGGCAGTAAATCAGTCCAAATTAACTCGAATCCTTTTGAACCGGATGCATCCGTTGCTGTGTGCATTCTGTTTAGAAGTTTTAAAAAGAAAGTATATTCTATGATAACACTTGATCAACACAATAATCTCACTGAAACAGTATAAATATTTTTGACTCACCAGTTAACACAATTAAGGCACTTAGAAGATATATAATGTTACAATAAGGTATCAACTAACAACATCGTTTTGTACTTAGTTAAGGCATTATAGAAATAGACAATAGTGAATATATTTGTCTCTAGATTAGAGAACTTACCTCGCGAATAGGTTTCTGTCAGAGGTCGATAGGTTTAAAATCCATTGGTCAATACTTTACAGATACGCAGGAAATTATTTATTTGGTTCACTACATCTTCACTACTAAACAACCGACTGTGGTTTGAGTTAAATGGTTGAATATGAAAATTTTTTTAACATCATATACAACCTTGGTAATCATGATAAAATTTGGCAAGAACTACAGACCGGTCATCCGATTTAGACATATCGTTTTGCTTCAGATAGTCAGACAAATTAAGCTAGTATAAAATCACAGGTTGTTTCTGATGAGTTTTCCCGCTTACGCGTCTGGAAAGGTAGGCACGTTAACATTGAGGCTCGTATAAATTCATAATCAGGAAGCATCTAATTACCTTTAAGAAATGAGTTACATTCCACTGAGATAAGCTTCATACAGAAAAGATTAAGTAGATTATGCACGGGTATTTAGTTATATCAGTAAGATAATTCTGTATACTCATAACTAACCAATCATCTATAATGAATAAAAATTCGGAAACAGTGATGTCGGGGACCTGATTAACGGTTGCTCACTGCTTATTATTTAACTTTGTGTCTGTAAATACAACTAAACATCTTTGAAAATGATCTTGACCTGGATACTTTCTTCAGAAATATTGAATCTAATAAGACAAATTACTAACGAAATTGTTTAGCAATAAGAGTGGTTCCAATGATCCGTTTTATTATTTTATCGAAACTAATAGTCACGTTTATCTTTCTGTTAGGGAATTCATAAGGAATTGTGAATACGTCGTATGTGAGGAATAAGAACAGTTAACATGAAGTATTAAAAATGAGTTGGAAGTTAATTTTAAATATTGCTTTTTATTGCTTAAGATCAACTAGATTTTTCAAATGATAAAACATTAACCACTGAAAAGTATTAAGTAAATATATTTAAGCAAAAGAAGAAACTAACATAGACAATGCTTGAAAAAAAAAACGAAGAACAACAAATTCCCTTAATTCTACCCTCCTGAACTCCTAACTTCAATGGCACTTCTCCGCTTTCTGTGGATAAGCAAGAACATTTAGTGAATTAGTCCGTGTTAACCTACTTATCACATATGGAATAGGTAGAAGAGGGAACACTAAAAAACTTTTGACATAATCAGAAATGAGGTTGAATATGCTTGCCAGTTAAAAGCTTACAACTGCAAAAAATATATATGCGTACATCTCCAACTGTTGCATCACTTGCTGAAAATTTTCAGCATCGAATCGACCAGAAACAAGAGACTGCTGTGTAAACCTTTTGTATTAAATAATTAAAATGGAAGTTATGTGAACAAAGATTGAATCTAGAGTGTTCTAAATAGGAGAATCGATAGATTGTGTATAGACAAATATCTTACTGAATACAGACTGATGGATATAATGCTTTCGATTGCTTGAAGGTAATTTTACTTTAAAAATACAGTCACTTAGAAAGAAACATACATCATCGCAGAATAAGCTTCAGCTGACAGTTTCCAAGACAAAAAACTTTGAATGACTCCTTCATTCAGATCAACTGTTCTAATCCAGCATTCACTTATAATATCGGCCTGCTTGAAAATAATAAGAACTAAAATTCGTCAGCAATTGCAGATGGTTTTTCTAAGTATTTTTACCTCTTCACAACCATTTTCAATAATTCTGAATAAAAATAGTTCAGATCGTTAAATCCGATATTCTTTCTGGAAATAAATTAATATCACTCGAAATGGATTCGAAAAAAATAAAATGTATCTGCAGCTTATACTGCACATAATCTAAGCGAATATCTGTCTGAATTAGCACTATTTAGGAGTGAATTTCCAGTTACTCATTAACTATCTATATCAGAGTGAATTAGAGAACGTTATACAGAATAATTTCTTATGAACGTTTAGAAAAACTCATGTTATTCTGAAGTGATAGAACATGGACAAACAGTAATATACTATGAAATCAAAATAATCTGATCTGGAAAGACCGGGCTTATGAATTCCTTTCAAAATGGTCAGTTGTAAGGTTCGACAGCGCGACAGATCACAATATATCTGTCCAGTGAGTTCAACTTTAAAAAAATCTAGAAACGACCAAACAGAGTAGAATAGCTTATAAGAAACAGGCAAAATTTTATGCAAACAACTGTTCATGAAGAAAGCCGAAATCTAAGTTATATATATATATATATATATATATATATATATATATATATATATATATCGGTATCACTGTATTAACTGAAGAGAAAGGCCAGAATAATCATCGAAAATCATGAACACTTGAATTTCATCATAAACCGTCAGTTAGAACTGGAAAGATCCATCTTAATCAATTAGTCAATTCAAATCGATTAATAAATTTAAAATCTCAAGAATAAAAACCTATTGGAGAAGTTGTTAAAAGTCAGAGAGATTACAAAATGCCAATTTCTATTTTATAGATTATTGGAAAAATTTACCATTTTAGAGGGTTGAAAGGTGAGGAAAGGTTTAACTAACGTAACAGGACAAGAACCCTTGTTTTTTTCTATCTTATATGGAATTGGTATACGAAGCTTCATTAGTTGAATGATATTCAGACGTCGGGCGATCTTTGAATCACGAACTTCAGTAAACATAAGAGATAATTTTATAACCGATTATAATTCGTCTACTATACAGTTTTGCTTTCATTGCCATTACATTATTAAAATAAATAATTTAAGAATCAAGGATACTTTGATTGACTTAATTACAGTTGTAATAAGTTCTGGTAACTCGCCAAACTTTCAATGTTAGTAAAACTTATTATTTAAGATTTAATGATTTAAATTCGGTATTTAGTACTCCCTATTAATGTGTTATACAAACCAGAATAGAGAAACTGAAATTGATTGAGGTTTAAAGTGGATTACAAAATAAATTAACTTATAAACTTACTTTATTCGTGCTACAGAATTCGTTATAATGATAGGCAAAAGTTCATTGCGATTTCCACAAAATTCATATGAACTATGCGCGTTATAACCTTCATATACTCGAAGAACTGCTCTTGAACAATCTATGTTGGTAAAAGAAAATATAGTGAAACAAGTAAGAAAATAATTTTTTCACTGTACAAGTTTAAATTTCAGTGTTTAAAAAAGAACCCATTGTTAACTCCAGTAAACAGCGAGATAAATGTGCCTGTCATCTCAAGAATTTTTTAATTTACATTTGGAAAATCTCATTGATTCCAACAAATAATCTAATGTTTTTCTGGCTACACAGTGTCAGATATGTACACGTAGTGCATCACTGGAACATACAATCAACAATGGATATCTTTTTGTCCTTAAACCAACCAAAACTTCAACAGAATAAAATGTACGTAAAGAAAGCAAGCATAAATGAACCGTGAGATTGAATAAATTGAAAGATTCAATTCATAACTGTCAATAAAAAAAACTTACTCGATTGGGAACCTTCTAAATCGAATGAATTAAAATATAGTTGAATGTGACTTTTCTCTGTAGTTCCTTGAATATACCATTCATAATTGTAATCCTTCGTATATAAATTAGGAAAGTTCGGTGATGTGATCAAACCGCTGCTAACAGCTTTAGCTGAATGCTTGTCATCAATATCATTGTCATTATTGTTCACTAAAAATATTTCCATAAATTTGAATAAAATTATCGAAATCGAAAATTCGGTAAATTTATTATATTTATACATAGGTTCAATGTTAATTTATTGCCATCACCTTATTGAAAAGTATGAAGATATGAACTGTATCAAAAATGCAATGAATTTAATTGTAATTCAATAAAATGCATTTTGGGGCCACAGAGATCATTCAGAATGAGATTGTTTTGATTTAATGTGGAAGGATAATTATCTCTTATCAGAAGATGACATTAATGTCTTTGAGATTTCCTATTATTGGAAGTGATGCTTTGAAATAAAGCATACGTTCCGAAATGTCGAACTATGGAGTACTTCTAAATTATTGAACGAGTTTTGTGGTTCTAATCAATAAGGGAAGTTGGTAAGTGGAAACTGTGAAAATTTTAATCTATTTTAATAATTGTGTGAGGACCGAAGAAAAATGTTTAAAAGAACCATATCAAGAAATAATGTCATACTGTAATCTGTTTGAATGTCAAACTGCTATAAAATTCCTCGAACTACAAAAAGTTAGAGAAACTAGAGTTTAATTCCTTTGAAGTTTAAATATATTAGTGAATACTTCATACTTTTTCTATACTAGAGATATGAGCTGTGAAGCCATTTATTCAACTGAAGAACTAGGTGACAGGATCAAAAGGTGTTAGTTTATAGTGAGGCATTTAAAAATGAAAGATAATTATGTTCGTTGAAAACTGATAGATGTGCCATCCTACAAAAGATGACGTTTTTTTAAACCTCCTTTCCCTGTTCGTTGAAAGCTAATAAAGAGAGTCTCAAATTTGTGCTCATTTTATCACTACTCCATGAGCTACAGTTGCCTTTCATTTAATGATAACTATTTGTTTCATGAACTGCATGTATTATCTATCTTTGGATCTTTATGCTGTACTCTTTTTTATTTCAAGCAATGATAAACTTGAATTTAGGTACATATTAAATTTACTCTGTTTGGGACAAAGAACTGTGAGCGTTTTGAAAATCAGCATCTACATATCAACGATTCTACATGTGTTGTTATCAATCGTTTAATAACATGCCAGAGATTTTGGGTTATTTATGATCTCCAGCAGTATAAAATATGTTCCGATTTTCATTAGTAATTCATAAAACAAGTTAAAATAATATACGGTAACGTACCTGGTTTATCAACAACTTTTGATTTCACTGGGTTAAGCTGTAGTTTTGGTAGAAATTCATAACTTAACGTAAATCCCTTTGAAGTTGTATTTTGCCCACTGTGAAATCTCATTAAAATGGCAGTAGCAGTTAAATCTGAGACTATTGGACCAGGTATATATTTCCCACAGTATATGCTTATAGGTTCTAGTATATGCTGATTTGTACCTAAATAAATTTGTAGTTCTTTCTCTAAATTATGCCAACGTTGTATCCATACATCATACGATACTTCAAGTAATAGTGGATAGTTGACACGTGAAGTCAGTGCACTCGTTACTTCTTCTTTTAATGGAATGTATAATTGAATTATTTCAAGGAAATCCTAAAATCATTCAAAGCGTGAAATGTAATATCTAGTGAATATGCCAGTGTACAGTATTAATAACATATCTATATCCAATTAAACAGTCTCTAAAAAAGAGTTTCCGCTGCGTAACCTTTCACCAACATTTATGGCCAGCACTGACATAATTATTTCAAGTATTCCTTATCCGTACTCGAACTGCAACACTCAGATATGCAATGAAGCAATTTTAGTTATGCAGAATATTCCTTGTCAAGCCCAACAACGAGACCTTGAGAGTTTTAATTTATTGCTCACAGTAGAAGTACCAAGTGGAAATTGTTAGACATCAGCTTCAAGTTTCAAGGAAATGAAGTATCCAAATCAATGAGGTTGTAAGTGTGCACCAACTTTAGTTGGTCAAAAAGAATTAAGACTAACTAGATCAAGACATGAGACCGATGTATCATGATGATGAAAACTTCAACTACAAATGAGACTTATTTTTCCATAACTAACATCTTTATGAAACAGATTTTTTAGTATATTTTAAAAGTATAGAAGACTAATCTGTTTGATAGATATTTTGACAGAAAAATTTGAAATGTCAGTAGATGTCGAGAAAGTAAATTATGGTTGTGTGCATGAAATTGGAATATTTATGTGTTAGCGTTTTGTGTGTGTGTGTGTGTGTGCATACGTCACTTTTTTCATCAATATTTGCGTATTAGTTGTAAGATCCACTCAATTAGTCGAAATTCTAAAGTTAATGAAAATGCTTATAAGTTAAACCAAATACAATAAAATTAGTGTTCATATAACCCACTCATTAAGACTTTAGCCAGGCCATTTCAATGGCAATTCTAAGTTTAAAACTGAATATTTATTACCTTTTACAATATAAAAAGGCAAAAGACTGACACTCAAACATGAAGATGGATAGTTTAAAGCAATCAGTAAAAGATCTCTTAACCTAAGCTTTTTAGATAAATGGCAGTTATCAACAAGGTACAACAAGTCAAGCCATAATTAGGATCCAAAACTACGTTTTTCAGAACAAGGATAATCCGCAAACTCTGGTATCGTTCAAGAATAGAATATACGATAAAGTTATTTTGAGTGCTGAACTTTATATCATTCGTATAACATGAACGGCTAATCTAATATAAGTAAATACGACACCTTTTCGGTTAGCTTGACATATTACAATCATTAAGAGTACGAGGAGTGTATGCTATTTTTAATGCTTTGATCAAGTTGTTAGCTTTTGTTTACGTGGTAAGAAAAGCTATAGAGAAGTTGTTAATGCTGTAAAAACAAACTTATGAGGATCATCTCAAAACAAATAATTCTAGCTGGAGTTTCCTCTAAATGTGACTGACAGACAATTTCAGTTATTTGCTAAACTGAAATTTTTAAGGTGAAAAAACTAGTGACTATATATACCATGCACTTTAACAACTGATACAATCGATGGATATCAATATATTTCTGTAGCACAGTTAAGAGCTCTGTCAACAGGACTGTCTTATTCCAGTTATAGATTATCAAAACGCCCCAAACAATATTTAAAAGTAACACATTGACATTGACCCAATTTATCAACCAATCAGAAAAATCATTGGCAAACATAGGATCAAGAAAGAGATCAAAGGGAAATACAATCAAAACAAAGGTGCAAACAGCGACGGATTTAAAGTCAACAGCAACCAATCAAGATCGATGCTAACAGAACAAGCTACCGGTCAAACGTGGAGTAATTCGAATACTTCACTTCTATCTAAAGTTTGTGCTGATTATGTTGTTCAGAAGAACAATGAAAGCTCCACAACAAAAACATTCAGCTCAGAGAACGAAACGCCACCATAATTGGTGGTATTCAATCTTGGTAATGCTGGGGCAAAAATCAATACATCAGGTCTTTACTTGATGGCAGTTTCTACTAGAATCAAGTACCACTTTCAGGTTTCGGAAATCTATAAAACACTGAATGTTTTGTCTATCTAGCAATCCACATACATATTACTGTAACTATAATGGCTAGGTTCCAGAGTATTATTTGATCTATCTGTTTTGAGCTAGTGATTGAGGCAGATTGTTTCAATGAATATCTTGTGAATATCATTGCAAAATCTACACAAAAAGAGAATTAGCCTATTTTTTACCAAATATTTTTTGTCACTGTTATGTTTTTGATTTTCAGGCAAGACAAAATTGTGAGTATTTGTGGGTTATGTTAAAAGCACTTTATCAGATAGAGAGTTTCGTAATACCAAAAATATAATACAATTATGATAATTCTGTCATATAAGCATATATATATATATATATATATATATATATATATATATATATGATCAGTATGATATGAGTATTATATGTTTGCTTGCACTTTCGAACGAACCTTACAAAATATAATCACTACCCAATTTATTCTGTATTTTCATCAGTCTTGAATTCTGAGACTAAAGCTCTGTCAGAGACCAAAGGCGCTATATAGAAAGGAAAATATATTCAGGTGAAGTGTTTAACTGTACTTCATATTTTTCGGTCTAATAATAGACATAAGGCAATTCTACAAGGACTAATGACAGTGTGAAGATGTCAAATGCTGAATAATGTAAGCTTCCATTTCCTAGATAAAACAAACGTTTTCATGTTTGTCATTCGCAGCTCTAATGCTTTTAGAATAATCTAATGATAATCCATTGCTTGTCCATAAATCATTTAAAAATTCAATTTTTTGTGCGAAATTTCCTAATCTCCTTCAAATAACTGAGGATTCCTTACCTGATGACAATTTTGAAATTTTTCCGATTCTGATTGGTTTTCAACTGATGCTTTCGACTGGGTGCGATAGGTAGTTGTGAATGTTTCGAAAACTAAACGTATGGATTGGTCTACAGCAAATTCATTTTGTGGTGTAATTATATACAAACAATCTGAATTAAACGGATAATTATTTGGGTAGAGAGGTGAATTAGTCCATCCTTTGAAATTTGTTTTATTCTCTTTTGAGATAGATGTGGATGACGATGAAGATGATGACATCGAAATAACAGATGTTGTTGACTCTGATGGATGTACATACATAAACTGACAACTTTCAGGATTAATCATTGTACCGGGAATACCAAAATCTAAAAATAAGTAAGAACATTCTGAGAATCGCTTCACATTCAAAGGCGGCGGGAATCAGGAATGGTTTATACAGATGTTAAGCTGTTCAGCTGATCTAGCACAAGATTTTCACCTATTTACTCATGTTAATAAGATAAGACAATGTCAATACTGAAAGAATTAATAAATGGTTTCTATAATAAGCTGCACAATTTTATAACATAGTTAGTATGGAAAAAGTTAGGTGTGGAGATGTCCCCTGATTTTTCATTGATATCATATTTTTCACTGATACAGCAATTATCATTTTTAGTCTTTTGTGACAAAAATGTCTACTGTCCTCAGAACTTCAGTAGCCTGAGCTATATATATCTACAATCATGTAAACAGAATACATTCTGAGTAATTAGAATTGCCTAGTGTTTACGGGTTAAGTAGACTTGATTGTATCAGACAGTGGAATAGGTTCATCCACATGAATCGATAGCAAAATGTCTGAATATTTAACTGAATATGGTGTTATCCCTATGACATGGACTCAGACAGTCCTACTATACAGTATATAATATATATATCATAGTGTAATCAACCACAATACATTATTGCAATGAGTTGTTTAAACTTTTCCCCCTACTTAAATTAACGATTAAACTCTCATAATTATGTTTGAATTTTAATTCATAGTTTATTTACAAACAACTGGGGGTTGGGTTTGCTACCTTTCGCGGTTTGTATGGAGTCACGATAAAAACATAGACACACCCAGAGATTCAGTTAGTCTCCGTCAGATGATACAAATTTTTCCTTAATCTGAACGGTTATAATTATTGGATTTCATGAAATGTCTATAACAAACCAGCAATGTATAACAAAGTTAATAGTGATCGAATCTCGATTCCCTATACATCATCCCGTAAGTTCATCCATTCTCTTATTGACAATCTCCAAAAACAGCAAACCAAATTTAAATATATTTAAACAAACAAATATTCAAAGACTTCAATGAAATTAAGTTTTCTCTTATCGATATCTTAAAAACACTATTAGCTTTCATTCGCTGTCTGTTTGAGTTGATTTGAGGCATACGACTGTGCGCACTTGATCGACTTTCCACTTAATTAGGTTCGTTGGGATTTAAATCTAGATTAGACTAACAGTCAGCTCTTAGCATTAGAGTTCTATTGTAGCAAAATCTCGTATAAATACTGAGTCTATCGGAGATTTTCTTTTACGGCTGAATATGAAATTCTGGATATCAAGTCTGTTTCATACAGCAAAACAAATGAGATTCAGAAATATTGTATCATGTAGACAAATAGAGTAGATTATTAATAAGATAATTCATTTTCTATTCTCAATATCGTTTACATTGGTTGACAATAGAATGGAATTCAAATAAACGCACACAAAAATGACTGTGACATGGTATCATAATTTCAGCTTCTGATTTAAAAGAAATCTAGTTAAATTCCTCAAAAATGAAAACAGGACAATTAACATACCCTTTTTAAACCTGTAACTCAAAATAAACTTCATATTTAAACCGGGAAGGTCGGCTCCTGTTGAATTAAATCTCACCAGTAGAACATTATGTCGTCCGACGATTGGATAATAATGACTTTGAGGGCCTGATCCTAGTTTGAGTAAATCTAATTCATTTGATCTATCACAGAACACATGATCGGGTTCTTTATTAGACTGAAGTATTTCATGTGAATATTCATAGATTGGTTTTTTGATTATTTGCTCACCAGTTAACAATCTACTACCATAAACTGCCATGTGTCCACGATCACATCTATAGGCAAAATCACGAGAATGAAATGGTATTTACCATGATAAAGTAATATTATGAGAAATTCAGTTCACTAATACACACACAATAATGCTAAATCAAAATTTTGTAGTAGAAACATTTTGTTTCATGATAATATAATCTAGAAATATAGGATAACAGATTTCTAGACACCATGAAAAGTCTTTACAAATAGCTGATGAAAAAGTTCATCGGAATTGAGATTAAAATAGTTTACTTTAACTTACGTTTAGAATAAACCCCTAACAATCTAAGTAGTGGAGTTTAAGACCACAGTATTGAATGACTCTGATACAAAACATAAACTTTTAAAACAATCTCACTCATTTCTGATACATTCTAATAAACATTAAATTTACGTCAGGCACAACTTTCAATTAACTGTTCAAAAACGTCCACCATCAATGATGGTTTTTCTAACTTTACTTTTGCTTCGAAGTATAAATTAAATTCAGTTTATTGAAGCATATCTCAATTCAAAGTTTTCAGTAACATCAAATATTTATTTTTTTAAAGGTGAATATCATAGCACTGTGAAAAATAACTCAAAAATTAATATACATCTTATTCTCTAAATGAATTTCCAAAATATAAAAAAACAATGTCAAAAATAAACAGGATGCATAAACCATAGAGAAAATCTTTATTTCGTCATCGTAGTAATAATGATTTTCAAAATTTAATTAGCGCTTCTGGTTCATTATTCCCAAATGATTCCATTAAAACAAACACATAAAAATGGACAAAGATGTACCAGCTTCCAGCTATAGTTTCGCATTATCTAATTTTAATGAACTAATATTACAAATTTTGTGTTATGAATGTTATTCAAGATATCATACCAGTAGATAATAGTTATGAAAATTATGCCTTTAGAACATTCTTTTTTGTAGGACATATTATATATATTTATTACAACCATTTCCATTGTCCATCCTAGGACTTTTGAAAATTCGCTGTAAGACACATTAAAAAACTTACTAATGAAACAGACTAAACTAGGACAGTCGAACTGATAGCCATCATTCTTTTGGTAAATTTACCAGAGTGTCTCAGTCTGTTCATTATGTTATCAAATTTTATTTCAAAAACTTGACAGTATTAAAAAATGGAATACTTGAACTCCTGAAATTTTCATGTCTTTCAAAAAATGTGTATTCATTAATATAATTTTTGACTTTATTCTATGAGTTCTTATCAAAGAAGCTAACTTCTGCAGATTTTATACTATAATATTGCAACCTTTAGGGTCGATGTTTTCAAATCCAGTTACTTGAGTACAAAAGGTGCATATGATGTCCATTGAAAATCAATGTAAATAAACTTAAACTATGGACGATTGCAATACTTTAGGTAGTTTTTTTGACTTTCAATAATAATTTTCAATTTATATCAACAGTCCTGTTAAATTAGCTGAAAGTTCTATCCAATGAGTTTTCAAGGTATTTCACAAAATTGTTTAAAAACTTAAACAGGCTTTATTTGGAACTGAGTCCAATAACTTCAAGTGTTACAAAAAAATTAACGATTCTTCATTAACTTAAGTTCTTTAGTGGCCTATGTCATGCTATTTGTGAGATCAAATTTTTCGATAGTATTGACAATGTAAACCAATAAGTCATTCGAAGTAACCTTGAAAAACTAGCTATCTCTCTGCTAATTTTTATTTCAAAATAGTAAAAACACTAGCAAAAAAATTGTGAATTCCAGTACAGAGACACAACGGATAAAAAAATATATAATGGACAAATAACTAGCCAGTAAGAAATTTCGAATTCTAGGTTATTCTTTGTTGTTTTTTATTCAAGTTTCGAGTATCGGGACCAAATGGGGGTATAAAGAACATTCAAAGACATTTTAAAGAAACTAGAAGAAAAATTAAAGAATAAAAAACCAGCAGTTAGTTAGTGGAAGATTTGGTAAACACATTCAGTGTTTTGGAGTTTAACTACTATAACTGGATAAAAAAAACGATTTAAATATTTGCTCAGTATACTGTGCAATGACACTTAACTGTTCACTACATTTTAGGACTCTTTTCATAATGCACTGGTTTCATAGGCTTCTGCTGCACCGAAATTCTGCTAAACTTACATTGTTGTGGAGGAATTATCAACACAAATACTTTATAATTGACTACTATGAACTAACTGGCACTGATTTGTCCGAAAGTGTACTGAAGTTTTAATTTCATTAAAAGTTGCTTCATGGTTCATTTAATGTAGAGCGGTATCCACCATTTAGTTTAAATGGATAAGCTAATTATATATGTAATTAAGTTTAAATAATTCAACCTGAACTTATCCAAACATTTTCATGATGAGCATACAACATTATCTCTGAAAAAAAGCATTTGAAGACCCATCTTGTAAATAAATAGAGTTGGAAATTGTCCTTGAATATTTCGAGTTAACAAAAGTATTGCTACATCTATTTACCATTAAATAAGTGTAACTATAGGCCAGAACATTACGCTAAACTTACATTCGGCTATCTAATAGTTTTCAGTCAGTTACAACGTAGATTTTCTTACGTACGTACATAAGTTCAGGTTGCCATACCACGGTACAGAGACGCAATTGTCAGTTCGGATACCATAATGGTAAAAATAGTAGAAGTATTAGCAGTGATGGAGAAGAATAGGGTTCGAAGATATGATTCGAGAAGTATAATTCAGAGAGATAACATAAAAAGAGATGATCAAAGAGGTGATGAGGAATTGAGGAGATTAGGACATGCGAAAACAAACGATTTGGAGCCATATCGATTAAGGTCTCTGACCGTCGGTTACTATCGTCTCCTGGTCTCCAAAAAGGTAGCCTACATCCATCAACATGACTCAGACCACTTGTCAGTGACTTCATGGATGTGTACCGCGTTTTGGTTCAGACGTCCCTAGCTTTCTTCCAACCTACTCCCACACCACAAACATTGCTCTTCAAGGCAGTCGGTGGCTGAGCATACGCAACACATGTCCCAACCACCTCAAATGATGACGTTTCAATACTTCATATATTGATCTGCCAATCTTACCTACCACCCGTTTCCTAACAACAGCATCGCTTACTCCGTTGTCCCATGATACACGAGCAATGCTTCGAAAACCAGTAACCTACGAATATCTTCTAATCTCACTGGCCATGTTTCACAGCCATAAATTAGGACGGAGCGAACTACTGCACAGTACACTCGTCCTTTAACCAGCGAAAGGATATCTCGCTTGGCTTTCTTTAACCTGCTATAGGTAGGCGTCTAAGGATTATCGAGGCTAACAATTTAGACACTATATTATTTAAACGGATTCCTATGTGACTGTCACAAGAGGATGTTTGTCCTTTCTTATAAACTGGGACAATATGGGACTGAGACCAGGTGGATAGGACCACACCCAGTACACAAATCCTACTTAAAACCTCAGTCAATCTCAATGCTAAAACTGGAGCAACATCCATAAAAGTCTCAGGGGTAAGACTGTCAGGCCCTACTGCTCTCGCTCGCTTCAGGTTTCCTACAGCTTTCTGAACTTCATAAAGAGGCGGAGGACTTACGCCGATTTTCCATTTAGGTTGACTGGAGGTGGTGATCAACCGAACTGTTGCTGAAGACCAGTTGAACTGATCCCTGAAGTGTTCTGCTCACTGCTTTATTGAGTTGAGTGAGTCAAGAGAAAACACGAAAATAATCATACCATTTCAATATATATACTCAAATGTGTCACTGCGCATTTGCTATGAGCAGTATTTAGTGGACATGCTAGTTCATGACTTAACGAACATTTCCATTTTTGCTTGCTATACACAGTCATTCTGATCTTAAATGACAAGAAGAAACAGGGTTAGATGTTCTATTCCTAGGAGATTATCACGAATGATTTACTTACAGTTTTGACGTTACTAAATCTCTTCAAATAACTGAAATTTCTGGATGTTAACATTTAATATTGTAAACAAATGTAAGCGGCTGATGACTGTTTATTTAGAACTTGTGAAATTTCACCTAAATACCCATCATTTTTATTCTAGTGCCTTGTAAAGTATTAAATAGTCAATTGTTGTGTCGATAGTAAGCTGACTGTTGTTTGAATGTACAATGGTCAAAAAGCACAATAATTGGCTCGTAATATACTAGACCGATGACTCACTCTCCTGAATGATATCAAAACAAAAAAAACAATATAGTTACTGTCATCTTTTATTTTTAGGTATTCCAGCTGATTTGAAATATGTTTGTGTTGGGGATGTTAGATCCCCAAAATTCGCATGATAATGCCGTATTTTGGTTTTTACGTTTCGCCAGCAGGGGCTGATCAAATGACCTTGAGATTTCAATTCCCACCAGGAAAATCAATGGCTGTGATTGGCTACAGTGTATTTTAGTATGCTATTTTCTTAACTGTCTCAAGGACGTTGTTATGTTGTATAAATAAACGAGAGTTGTATGCTTGATTGTACTGGATTGCTGGGTGGTTGTAGAATATACTTTCTACTCTTACCAAGACTTCTGTTTTCCCGTTTGGATTCAAGGTAGCCTTCCTGGAAGCTGGTAAAAGTCTCGTTCGCGTTTATCGACTAAGGTAAACTCGTAATAGCCTCAAGCATACTAAGTGACAAAACATATCAGTGGCGACGGGGTAAAAACCATATCCACAAAACATATCAGTGGCGACGGGGCTCACAATTCACAATGTCAATTAACCTTGAACAGTTAGAATCTTTACTGGAACGTCGAGGTAAACGATATGAACAGTTGCAGGAACGTATGTTGGAGCTGTTAAGGAAACAAATGAATTTGAACCCACGAGATTGTTCGTTTTCTGAGACTGTTCAGACTTTAAGCCAACACTTTGGAGACAACTCGTCACTATTTAATACTCGTTATCGATGTTTGAAGCTTATTATGAACGAAGATGATGATTTTTTTACGCACGTGGGCATCGTCAACCGTGAATGCGAACGCTTTCGGTTGAAGTCTTTGTCGGAAGA